ATATCTTGTATTGAGTTGTCCTTTCATGGAATCCATTCGCACCTTGTGTAGCCACAGCACAAATAACATACACATGACCTAAGTCTATCTGTAGATAGTCGTTAGGGTCAGTTTCCATTTTTGGTCCCCATCCCCTGTCTGCTCCATTCAGGCGTGCATCCTTTGGTTCATAACGTGTATCGCCATTAGTATCATAATATGAAGATGCCGTAAATCTGTCATCTGGTATGATAGTACTGTTTGCTATACCTACAGGACGTTCCGAACAAGCTATGGAGAGAAAAAGTGTGCATGTCCATCATGAGAATGCATTTGCATTTATCCGATTGTTTCAACGTAACAATAACAGCTTTAGTTACCGAGTTGCCTGTAAAACACCAGTCTTAAAATGCTTAAGAACTTCTAATCTATTAAGCCAAGAATTTTCTCAGTATAGCTGGTCTCTAGCTTCTTGCTCAAGATTATGGTTTGTTTTTGAAATGGCTGATTATAAGCTTGTTCTATATTGCTTTATATACTTTCATTTTATTTTATCTTTTATCATCATTTCACTTTCAAATCCATTATATAGTAAGGATAGAAACTTACCAGTCGATTGATGTAGGATGATAGATATGAAAACGGTTAAACACTTGAGGAAAACTCCTTGGTTCGACGAGAATCCCTGCATGTTTAATGATACGCTGTTGACCATGCACTAGAGCAATGAAGCCAAAACATGACACGGAATTCATATCTGGGTATGTACATTAGGCCGAGGATTACGCCACGTCATTAACATGTGACATTAATGACATTAATCATCAAGATTAAAGTCTTTGTGACTTAATATTTTATTATATATTTTTTCTAATTAACAAACACCGTTTTTTAAATATTCATTTCTGTGATAACAGATAATATTATCCCTTCTCCTTTGTTTTGTAGAGATAGTGCTCAGTAAAGTTATTAGTTTCATTGTCTATGGTTACATTTTGTAATTTATTAGCAAACGAATATGTGATCTTTAAATGCATAAGTAAACCCACTTGGGGTCTCCTATGTTTTCAAGGTTGTCTGAGGCAAGTTTTTTTTAATCTATAAGCAAACAAATGTAATCTTTTTTTAATGCATGCGAAATAACTAAGTAACCAAACATAGGTCCACAACATCTCTATGCTAATTTTAATCTTGTTGTAGCACTACTTGCCAATCAGAGTTTGAGAAAAATTCTCGTGTCGAGTGGACATTGCAGTGCATTGTGAGACTGTTTTGGGTGACACATTTCAACAGATGGCGACTATTTCGTCCTAGAGATTACCTCAATGCACTACATTGCCAACTAGGCACAATTTTTAACCAGATTTGGAATATGGCTAATACATCAGTACAGCAATCCTGTCGTTAATGCTGAGTTATAAGTTTTTTGGGGGTAATATTTAATTTGAGTTTAAATTTCTTAAGTATGAAGGCTTTCGTAGACCGGTTTAGTGTGGGGCATCGCGGGCTGATACGTTGGTTGTACAGAGGACTCTTTGGTATTTTGCAGTTTGTCAGGATTCGATGATTGCGTTTCCAGATGAATAGTTTCGTATATTTGTTCATTAGGATTGGATTTGCTTCCTTCGTTAATCGAATCATAGTATCCCCCACCATCATTAGTAGCTATGGTTTGTGGACCAGAAACTTCAGTTTGTACCTCTGATGGATCTACTGCACCATGTAAGTATATTTGCGCGTATGTGGAGCCTGCATGGACAGAAGCCATTGGCAGTCCTTCTTCTGAGTTGTTTGTATTTATGTTCTGTTCAAATAAAGTAAATCACAAGATATATATTTTAAAAAACTTTTGTTTTCTAAAAGAATGGTAGCAGTTGTAGCATTATCTGATGGTATGCCATCTTTTCACTTTAATAAACAACTATTTTCACACGATTATCGATGACAAGAATATTTTTAAGTGAATAACAATGCCATATTTATCAAAAGATGTTACAATGTCATTAACAATGTACAGTTAACTCTCGTCTTGCAAACATTCCGATATGGCGGACAGGAGCAATAAAAATTCCCGATGGGAAATTACTCTAATTAACTTTTACTAGTGACGGTCCCAAAAATGTTTGCTGTAACGGTAGTTGATTGTATGCTTGTTTGCGTGTTCGAAAGCTTGCTTGCTTGCTTATTTGTTTATTCGTTTTAAATTGATTGATATATTATGTTGGTGTTGCGTCCTCGCATTTTGCTATCCTGAGATTTCGGAGATTCTCTCGCTTCAGTTCTTCCCGCGATAACGACTCCCGAAACCCAGAAGCACTGTAGCGAGAGAGTCTCTGGAACTAAAGGTAGCCCTCTGCAACTCACCGCATAAACATCTTGGGTAAGAGCAATCTCAGGTCTACAGAGATAAATGAACAATATCATTTGAGCATCATCAAAATTCAAGTCGAATCCCGAAGGCTGCATGCAATGGAATATTTTAAAAGCAAGACTGCTTTTGGGGCCAGATTTATTATATATTCTCATATTGCATCAATTCAGCACCAGCAAATAACTCTAACAAATCCTTTTAACATAACAATTTTCACCTGTTTTTCGTTTTCTTCGTTTCTTCTGCAATTTTAAAATAATGAAATAATTAGCAAAGATCGACATCGAACAGTTGACAGCCTTATCTAGGCCGTTTGTTTCATTTTATTTTAATATTATTAAATTTACAACCGCGAGTGAGCATAAACACGACAGATTCCGTGAATGAAACCCGGGTGGTAATGTTGAGAGAGACTTTATGTCTTAAAAGACAAAATCAGTGTAAGATATTTTAAGTTGCGCTTACCGAGTACTTTCTTTAGCTTTCTGTCGTGGACTACAACCAGGACAATGACGACCAAGAAAGCAACGTTGAATACCAAACTGACAGCAAAAACTGGATAATCTAGAAAATATCAGATTACAACATATTTTAATAACCATGTTTTACTAGGCAACCAAAGTCCTACGTTATGCATTTGAGTAGCGTTCTTGCACCTTCGCGTGGCTACGCACATAATATATCTTGGGATGCCTGTGGTAGATGGTTTATTCAATTCTGTCTTATGATAAACGTATTTCTTCCTGCCATCTAATATATTTGCCGCCACCTTATGGTCCAAATCATCTATACCTACGTTTATTTTGCCCAGTCTCATGAGTGTTAATACAGCTGTCAACATACCTATACAAGCTTTGTCCGTCTGAGAATGCTTTTCAGAAAATGATCCTAAAATACAGATAATCAAAACGTCATAACGAAAAAGGGCACATTTCTTTGTTTCGGTAAAATCAATTGAAATGACATGTAAAGCATTCTTACAAAATGAAATGACATGTAAAAGATTCTTATTAATCAAGCATTTACTTTTAAGTATCCATCATTTTAACCACTAATTGTAATTTCTACAGTATTGTAAAATAGCTTTTTTTTCTTTTTGATAGAGTGATTTTGTTCTCGTTGAAAAAGAAAGGATTTCATGAAAGCAAAAAAAGCAACAGAAACGTTTTCGAAAAATATATATATTCTAAATTAGGCTAAAAGATTAAGCATTAAAAAAGCATTGCAGTGTTAATATTACTGCTAAACTGATACTTAACAAACCTTTATTTTCGGTTATCCTCCCTCTTGCTATTAAAGCCCTTGCACCCACTAAATACTCCTAAATGCGTGTAGAGTAGACAGGGGGAAAAAACAGCATAAAGTTCACTATAGTTAGTATATACTGCGGACAGCAATACATTCTAACTATAACTTACAAATTCTGATTCTGATTCTGATTTTGCTAAAAAATATATATACATTAGCGAGCAACAAATGCAGTCTACAATAATTCAATAGCACAAAAAATTTATTCATTTATTCATTTATTGACTATTGGATGGGGTTATCGTTGTTTGTGACAACTGGCAAGTCATGGCGATTTAAACTTTGTCTTACCCTTTTCTCGTTTATCGTCAAAGCTCTTTGCAACGCATGATATGTTTTTTCTTGATTTATTTTAACATTTCTGTATCCATTGTAGTCTTTCTCGTCTCCAAGAGTAAAAACGCGTGAAAATTTCCTGCTAGAGTCTGGTTTTATTTCTGCTGCTATGTAGTAGTGCAGTTGTTCTTTCTCTGCTTTTTCGTGGCTTTTTAGTTTTGTGTCATCAAAATAACAAGTTTCATCAACGTTTAACACAATAATTTGATAAGCCATGATTTTTCCATTGATATTAGAACTTTCCCAAACTGTGATGTTGTTCACTTCTGCAGTAATGTTGCCAACAAATCCAACGACAGGAACAGGTGGAGCTGTTATAAATTTAAAAAGACAATGTTTAAGTTAATTACATTCACTTTATTTTCATTCTCAATAATAGACTGATGTTTCAAAACCTAAAGAAAAAAAATTCCCACGCACTTAGCATATCTAGGTAAATACTCAAGGTCCTGTAGTAGTCAGATTTATGGTCGTCTTTATGTCAATGTCATGTTGACGTAGTCGTATGTCTGTTTGCCGTGCCTTGTCACATCGTAGTCAAAACTGCACTGCTTTAGAAGCTACTCACCATAAACTGGTATCATAGCTATTTTTCTTGGTGTGTCCGATCCTTCCTCGATGGTGCATCCTCTAACACTGAACTCGTAGGTCATCCCCCCCAAGACAGGAATCGTTACATTTAGATGGCTCTGATCGACAGTTGTCACCTTCAAAGTGGGATCTACATCATGGTTGTATGACACTTTGTAATGGCGAATATTATCACCACAAACTGCAGGTTTACTCCATGTTAGTGTTAGTTGTGGAGCTGTGAGACCGCTGGGTGGAGTGATGGTTGCTTCCAGATTAATAGGAGCAGATGGAGCTTTAGATGAAAAAGGGAAATAGCTCACCAATATTATAAAGCAGTGAAAAATGAAATAACATACTTGCGACAATTACAAGGTTCCAAATTAAATTTAGGAGGCAAAAAATGTGTATAGATTGGCCAAGCCTCAAAGGTAATTGCAACAAAATCGTTTTGTGCAATATAATAATACGTATGCGTTTTATTGTTAGAGGAAATTGATAGGCTTTTGCAGTCAATAATATTCAGATCCATTTCAATCCTTATTCCAATCTTTGATTTCCCCTAAAAAAACGTTGTAAGACATAAATTTACTTACCATCTTCTGCTGTGGCTTTCTGTTTTGAAGCTGTTAAAATACCATCCTTGATTGTATAGGCCAACATTCGAAAGGAGTACAGAGTACACTTGTCCAGTCCAGTAAGTACATAAGTTAGAGTCGTATTACCAGGTAAATCCATCTCTGACGTGTTACCATTTTTTTCGTAGCGCAACTTAAACCCTTTTATGATACCATTTGTTTCAATTGGTAAAGCCCAATCCAGTTGAACGCCAGTAGAATTAAGGACGGTGACTTGGAAGCTTTGTGGCTGCCCTGGAGCTGTTTAGAGTAGAGATTTGATTTATGAGCGAGTTGAAAAAGTGTATACTCCAAACCTTTTAATTGATCCGTGTTGGCATGTAACGTGATATATGTGTTTGTTACGGACCTGCTGCGCGCGAAAATCTTTACTCTTTTCTGTACGATTCTGTTGGTGGACTATCTCTTCTCAGATTCAATCTTCTGAAACCTTTAATTTTGAGGCCCAGAAGAGAGAGAGAGAGAGAGAGAGAGAGAGAGAGAGAGACGGGATGCGAAGATAACACGATAGAGGCATGGTAAATACACAATAGACAGGAAAGACCATCAACCAAAGTACTTGTTTTATATGAGTTGCGCATGCTGCAAAACGGATAAGAAAAATATTTTTTACAACACCTTAGACACTTATTATCTCACAATCCGCCATCCAATAACTATGAAGGAGCTTACCATCTTCAAATGTTCGCTTGGCCACATATCCGTTTATAGGTCCATCTCCCTTATCGTTATGTATGAACACTGTGAAGTTGTACACTGTCCACTTTCTCAGACCACTGAACGTGTGACTTGCTTGTTGAGGAGTTGCTGTACTTTCACGTCTATCACTTCCTGATCTGCAAAATACTCTGTATCCAAGAAAAGGACCATTGATTCCAGATGTTGGTGCCTTTGAAATAAAAAAAATTAAATTAAAGGGCTTAGCAAAGAAAAACTGTAAATGTTTGCTTGTTTCCTTATATCTTGTTTTGAATGAATTCTATTTAATTGATTTATTCGAATTTCATCCGGGAATCATTATCATGAAAAGACTGGAATTCGTGATATGTGAGCAACCAGTTTAGAGTTTATTCCTTTAGTAATACATCGAATTGCCTTAGGTTTTCCCTCTGCAAAACACCCAAAAAATCCATTTGCTGGTTCACAATTGTTTAATGAAGTTTTATGTACTGAAGCATTCCGAAATTCCGAAATAATTTTTGAAAAAAAAAAGCATTGTCGCGACAACTATAAAGTCATGAACCAGCTGTTCAAACTAGTTTGCCGTCATTATTTGTACGACGATAGCCTTTTTTTAATACCAATTAAATGGAATTTTTTATTATTTATATGGATTATGGGGAAAAAAGGTTTGCCTTCTTATCTAGGCATTCAGAGGCGATCTATATATATTGAATGCTGGAAAAATTGGAAATACATTCCTACAACTTTAGTATGGGCTGACCGTAGACAATATTCAATGAAAAACACATATAAGAAATATGAAGCAATTATTGTTTTTTTTTTCTGACTTATTCTGACCTTGCTGTCTAAAAAGTGGCTCGTATATTGGTTATGTTAGCTAAAGAGCGTACTCCTCGAGTTAAATGTGGTGTTTCTGATGAAGATAAGATTTTCTTTTTATGTTGCGAGGCCAATTAGGTAACTGACGATAAGTTTAAATTAATTCGAAAAGACATGTACATCCACAGGGAGCCCGGCTTGGTAATGCTAAATCGGTAAAACGATCACTTTTCATATGTTGATGCAAGGGCGCTAGGGCAAAAATTGGTGTTTTTTTAGCCTTTAGACTCCGTTATATTGGTGTTTTTTTAGCCGTTAGAAACTGTTTAAACTGTTACTCATCTGTTCTGTTATGTGCTGGCTTGATTTTTTTAGTTTTCCCGTCTATATACGCCAAAAATACTGCTGTGACCAACGGTCCAATCGTACGTAACGAACTACTGTATCCTATACCTGTCTCGTGACCGCTTACGCAAGCGTACGCGTCGGTTAATAAGTTAGTAAGTTAATCCAAATCCCCTAGAATAACCAAGAATGAACAGGGGTAGGAAAAGAAAGGCCAATCTATTGTTCTCTCGTCTGCTCGTGTAATAGGATTAAAGTGAAAGGTACGGTGGCAATTTGTTTACTCAGCGATGACAGATGTGTAACTAACGAAACCTAACGAACCAACTTCGGATCTAGCCGAACTGGCCTCGCCAGTTATTATGTAATGTCATCAACATATGAAACGTGATCGTCTTACCGATTTAGCATCACCAAGCCGGGCTCCCTGTGGTACATCATGAAAGTCCTTTCGCAAAATGTTGCACTCATATAAAGCTAATTAGTTATCCAGCACTGCATTTCGTGAAACCAACTGGTTTCGTTTTGCAAAGTGGAGATTTCTCTCTGTTTCGTTTCTTATCGCACATTGAAGTACGCCTTTGTACTCAAATATAACCATAAATTACCTGACAACTAACATCTGGTTTGGGATGTTTTAAAAGGCATTAGCTGAAACCAAGATTGTACACAAACAGATAGCACTTTAACTTACCTGCCAAGTAACACGTATATTTTGGGATATATTAAGGATTGAGATGGAACTAAGATTGTACAAGATAGAACCTAAATATTTACCTGCCAAGTAACGTGTATACTTTGGAACGATATAAAGTCATTAGCTGAAACCAAGACTTTACACGTAACACGTATAATTTGGGATGTTGAGGTATTACATGGAACCAACATTGCACGCAGAAAGAACCTTAACTTACCTGCCAAGTAACACGTATACTTTGGGATGTTAAGGCTTCTGCTCTAATTGATGTAGGAAAACCCGTAGGAACTGAAATATACAATACACAAGTCACTAATTGGTTCAATTGAATTACAGCATAATGTTTGGAATCTTTCTATGAATAGGCTAAGTTTAAGTTATTGAGCTGTACTTAATTACTTGTTGAATCTGTTCTGAAGTTCATTGGCTGACTCCATTTCCCATCACCAACTATACTAACAGCTTTGATTGTAATATTGTAACTGGTGTAGATTTTTAGGCCAGTGATCACGAGACTCAGCGATAGGGCTGACAACGTTACTGATTGTTTTCCATTTTGGTATACTATCGCATATGAGATCACAGGTTTCTGGAACTCGTTTAATTGAAGCTTTTGCCAGACTATTCCCACTACTGTTGAGCTTAGGAATTTAACTGTCGGTCGTGATTGTCTAGACGGGTAGTCTGTGAGAACAAAAACAAGAAAACGGTATAAATTTTAATACACTCTTACACATTATATCCACATTATTTCATATAATATATTTCTTCCATTTGTAGCTGACTGTGTGTGCAGACATGTATTCGTGAATACTTACCATATCTTACTTTTACCACGGCACTTTTTATCCCGTCGGCCTCTGTTTTGTTATTTCCATACAATGCTCTACAAATGAACGTCTTAAAGCACCACAGCGAGGACTCGAACCTGTTACAACTGGCAGAAGAAAGAAACAAGTTACTGGTAAAATGAGTGACAATACACAAATCACTTCTTGAATTTGCTCTTGAAGGGACTGTTGGTTCAATCGTTACCTTACATTTGAGTTCAGATTATTAGTGATGTTGTAAAGAAAATGATAATAATTCTCTATAATTCTCTATTATAAGAATAAATACTTTAGTGAAGTTTGCCAATTTATGTAATATACTGATAATGACATGGTAAAAGAAGCAGATTTCACTTGTATCAATCAGCAACTGAATGATTGTTGTACATACTCATAAGTATTTAGTACATCAGCATCGGAGGTGTAGTTCAATCTCAAAGTAGACTGCTTGACTCCATTTGCACCACGCACCAGGCCAGTAGAATGACTAGTGATGTCAGTATTACTAGTATACCATTTGATGTATCGTATTAATGGTTCTTGTACAATACACACAAGATCTACATAGCTATTGGAAGATGCTGTCAGCTTTTGATTGGTCATACCGGATATCACTGGTCTGGTAGCTGGAAAAAGAGACCCACAATGATGTTACAATATTTTGTAAAAATAAAAAAACTTTTTCATATCTAATGCTTAAGACATGAGCGGCCGTACACATTGTATTGGCCACACAATCACAAGAAGATGGCGAGTGATTGATGTGCAGACACAACACGCCAATGTTGTAAACAGCTTATGAAGGAATTCACGAATAATTCATAAATCTTTTGCAATATTCCTAATTCATATGCTAATTATATACAACCACAAATGTTGTACCAGAACAGTATACATCCACTAGTGGTTGTATTAGTAATTATCATTTTCAGTGTAAAGTTTGCAAAAGGCTTGCATGATATTCATTTGACCTGAAACTTACCATATAGTTACATCCATACAGTTCTATTCTCATACATATAGCAGTATTCCATGTCTGTACTTACCATAGTCACATCCATACAGTTCTATTCTCATACATATAGCAGTATTCCATGTCTGTACTTACCATAGTCACATCCATACAGTTCTATTATCATACATATAGCAGTATTCCATGTCTGTACTTACCATAGTCACATCCACACAGTTCTGTTCTCATACATACACCAGTATTCCATGTCTCTGTACTTACCATAGTCACATCCATACAGTTCTATTCTCATACATATAGCAGTATTTCATGTCTGTACTTACCATAGTCACATCCATACAGTTCTAGTCTCATACATATAGTAGTATTCCATGTCTGAGGCGTAACTCGAACATGCCTGGCTGTCAGTGTATGACTCAGCCATTGCATCCTTACATTCTCCTTGTCACTATTGCCTTGCAACATCTGAAGAAATAACGAATAAAAAGGGTTACGTGAGTTCATCTATGACTGATAATGGTCAATTCCGCCATTACAAAAACATGTGCTATCGAGTTCCTATAAGGACTGATATCATGATTCTCCTGTAATATTTCACATCAGTTTCTTCTACCTTATCATTGTTGCCCCCAGCTTTGTAGGTGTTCCACAGATTACCATCCATACTGTAACTGATAGTGTAGGTCTTCACCCAGTTATCCATGGTGTGGTCACCCTGTGTTGCTATACCTGTCACTGTCATCACTTTCCCCAGGTTAATCTGTATGTACTGAGTGTCATTTGAGTTGCCACTACACCATGAACTACTTCCATAGAGGCGACCATGTGATGCAGTATGGTTGTTGTCAATATGAGACGATGACGTCATCTGGCTGTCTTGGATGACGCCAGGTGCCTCAAGTCCAAAGGGAGAACTGCAAGCTGTAATGTACGTGTATTAAGTTAATATTGTTTTCTGTATGTCTTTTAAAAATCGCCAAAAATGGGTACTTACTAGATGATATCCCATAGATCTCCATTCTCAAGGATGGCCAAGAATTAAATGTTGATGGACACATTCGTATAAACTTGGCCTTGATAGGATGACTAAGACTGTTTGTCCTAACATGGTCTTTATTTGTGTTACCAGTAAATGTCTAGGACGAATATATAGAAATGTCTTTATTTAAAATAAATGAATTATTAAACACTCTTGTGTCTTGTTACAAATTCACTTGATCGATATCCTTTAATATGTCGAAACATTCATTACCGTGACTTCGTTACATTTTCACCTGATCAATATCATTTTCTTGGAAACAATTTCATTTCATTCATTATTATCAAAAGACACTCTTGTCTTGAATCTCATTACGTATTTACGTTATCATTGTTTAATGTTTTCGTCAGTGGTAATAATTCCAATTCGATTTATCTGAGGATCACTTTTGTTGTATAGTTCGCTACAGGTTTACCTTGTTAATATTATTTTCCTGGTAATAATCCCAGTTCACATTATCCAAGGACACTTTTATTTTGAATGATTCTATCCACTCATCATTAAGAGCCCCAGCACCTTGTGTAGCTACTGCACACACAAACACCACTGAACCGAGGTCTATCTGTAACCATGCACCAGACGTTGTTAGTGGTCCCCAGGCTTTACTAGATGTTGATAGTCTTGCAAAGCTTGGCTTATAACGGACATCATGATATGAACTGGCAGTAAACCTGTGATCTGGTACGATACTAGGGTATGACAAACCAACAAACATGAATCTACAACCTGTTTAAAAAGTAAAATCACAAAAGGTTGAAAAGTTTTTTTTAGGGACTGGTCATAAAGTATAGGGGGGGGGGGGGGCAAAATCAGAATAGAATCAGTGTTTTTTTTTAATATAGGCCCATCATAAAACGATGCTGAAAATGGGATGACCCAACCCCAGTTTAGAAACAAAATTGCAGATGACCCACCCCAGAAAAAATCTAAATCCCAAAAGAACTTTCTTGGTTGCACACGTCTACCACTTATTGTAACATTGACTGTTTCAACTTCTTCTTTCTCTGTCATCGTTTTCCTCACTATCAGTAATTCCTATTTCATGAGTAACAATGTCAGTTTCTTCGTCGCTATCCAAATCTTCAGTATCCTCATTAGTGTCCTCATATGAATTAACATCATCTTCAGTGTCCTCGCGTGAAGTACCATATTCTTCATGCTCTTCCTCTGTTGTACTTGTCGTAGTATTTAAAAGCTGCATAGACAGCCAAGCATTTATTATTTTGACTTTCTCACTTTTGTACATTTTGAGCTTGAGCAAGTTGTGCTTTTTAAAAAGAGGACCAAGACTGCAATCCTCTGCTTCTTAAGCATCCTGCTTTCTTGTATGTCTTTCCAGTCATAGTCTTCATATGCTTTAAGTTTCTCTGCTTCCTTATTTTTGTTCTTTTCATTTGCCCTTTTCATTTTTTTTCATTCAAGGTACTACAGATGTTCTACATACTTCCTAATCAGATCATCTGCAACTGCAAATTTCCTTGAGAAATTCTGATGATGACAATTATAATACTGCTCAAATTGTATCAACAGCCCACCCCTTTGAAGGAGTTCAAAATTATGTGACCCACCCTCTGATTTTGCCCCCCCCCCCTCCCCCCGCTACCCCCTATACTTTATGACCAGTCCCTTAGCAACAAATTATTCTCGTTTAATTTTGAGTTCAAATAATAACTCAACATACACAAACCGGTGGACTCACTAGCTCGTTCTCACTCGCACGCACTATTCTCGTGCTGTGTTACATTTGTTAAATTGCATTTGCGTTAAATTTGGAGAGATCGGTTTCTTACTCAGTAGTAGCTTAGAAACTTAAAATTTCCATTTAGCAAGCTTAAACGCTTTATGTACCTCCATCGTAACGTTGTTTTATTCCATAGAGTTCTGTTCTCATGCAGCTTGTACTCCCATAATGACTTGTGGGTGCAACACGTATGTGTTGAGTAACAATACCATCATACAAGAGATTCTTGACTGCAGTATCAGACTCGAAGTTACCAGTAAATGACTATAGGAATAGGAAATTATATGTATTAAATCATTTAAAACAAAGGGTACTCATGGAAACTATATTTGAAAAAAATGAAGATAACGATTTCAATCAAACCGCCTCATTGGGAACTCGTGGATACTAGTTGCACTTTCCAGAGACGTCTGGGCTCACTGTTTCCTTATGCTTGTTGACATTCGAAGGTTTCATAGTATTTCG